TACCACGGGGTATCAGGTGGTTAAAAAGATCGTTCGGAAACGGTTATTACCAACGGTCGTGATTGCGTCGGCTGCGTCTCGTCAAGTCGTCAATCTCGTCATTCGGTTTTAGGACGGGGATCCAGGATCACGACGACGGTATATAGGATTGGACGGGGCACAGCTCACGAGGATGCGGCCGGACTCGCGCAGCGTCTCGTTCACGTTCCACCGGGAAGTGCTGAGCGTGCGAAACTCGCCGGAGATGGTTCCGCGGAGCTCGCGGAACCTGCGTCAGCGCCTGCAGGATCGATTCGAGAAGGACCGGGGATCGGGCGGTAACGATAACGCGAAGGAGAAACCAGCGAAGGCGAAGGACTCGGTCGACCGGGCCTGGAACAACATCAGCCTCGGCAACGTGTCCGCGGATTCGAGGCGAGCGTTGAGAAACGGCGCCGAGAAGCTGTCCAGGACGATATCCTCGGTGCGCACCACTTTCGGCACGATATCTCAGGTAAGCTGAATGAACATTTACGAACAAATTGACGAGAAGTGGATTTTATTTTCTATTATTCTTGTTTCACCTGGACTTCGCTCGTAAACTGCAATATTAGGTTCACGTTAACATTATCTTTCGTTCATCCATATTTCATTTAATATTTAATAATAATTCCGATTATTTGATTTAATCAAAATTGATCTGTCAAATTACAAAATAATTATTTTTAGTTTAATTATCATAAAATAACTTATTGGAAAATAGCAGAAAGAGGAGTCTTAGGACCAGTTTCACAAGTGTCGGTTAACTTTTAATCTTAGATTAACTCACTCTTCGTCTTTTTCTAAGGGAAACGTTAGAAGGAGGCAAAGAGTGAGTTAATCTAAGATTAAAAGTTAACCGACACTTGTGAAACTGGGTCTTAATTGTCTGTTGAAAATTTTACTAAGTGAATGCTTACTCGAGATATATGTCTAATGCATCATGATAACGAAACAATCACATAAACAAATGTACCAAGCGAATGACGCTGAATGTAAAACAATCCTTTCCTATGTGCAGAAATTTAAGAGTTCCACGCGTAGACGCCAGCGACTGGA